GTAGATAGGAGAACCTTATGGAAACTTCTTCGACACTACGGAGTTTCTGAGAAAATTGTCAACATTATCCGTAACTCATAAGACGGCCAACAGTGCAAAGTCTTGCATGGAGGAAAGCTGACAGATGCATCCCAAGTAAGACCGGAGTCAGACAAGGCTGTCTACTCTCAAACTTCCTCCTTCTGGTGGTCGACTGCATTATGAAGACCTCGACATCTGAGAGAAAACACGGCATACAATAGCCAGCTCAAAACCAATTAGACGATTTGGAATTCGCAGATAACCTACCCACTTATCGCATACACACAAAAAATGCAGTTAAAGACAGCCAGTGTGGCATCAGCCTCTGCATGAGTAGACCTTAAAGTACACAAGTTCAGAACCAAGGTCTTCAAATACAACACGGAGAACAGCAATCCAATCACTCTTGATAACAAAGCTCTGGAAGATGTAGAAATCTTCACATACCTGGGAAGGATGGATAATAACTGGGAAGAGCTGGAAATGATTGCCCAGAACAAGGTTGGACGGAGAGTGCTGGTGGTCGGCCAATGTCCTTGACGATGGGTAACAGGCGTAAGTAAGTTCATAAACAACCTTTTTTACGGACTTCAATAGTGCATGCCAATCTATTTATAATCGAAATTTCGAGTTCGCAAGTCCGTACGAGCCAGAATTACAGATGCTATTCATTACTATTATTAATAACTCACTTACTTACACCTGTTTCTCTTCGTGAAGAAGCATAGGCCGCTCACCAGCATTCTCCATCCAACACTGTCCAGGGCAATCCTTTCTAGCTCCGTCCAGTTGTAATTCATTGTTGGTGGTTGTTGTAGTTCTCCAAGTTTCAGCTCCATACAGTAGAACTGCCTTGACGTTGGTATTGAAGATTCTCACTTTGATATTGGTTGAAAGTTGTTTTGAGTGTCATATGTTCTTTAACTGTAGGAATGCTGTCCTTGCTTTGCCAATCCTTGCCTTTACGTCTGCATCTGAACCTCATTGTTCATCGATGATGCTTCCTAGGTATGTGAAGGACTCTACATTTTCCAGAGTTTCGCCATCAAGATTGATTGGATTGTAGTTTTCCGCTTTGAATTTGAGGACTTTGGTTTTCCCTTTGTGTATGCTGAGGCCTACAGATGCAGAGACTGCTGCCACACTGGCTGTCTTTATCTGCATTTGTTCGTGTGTATGCGATAGGAGGGCAATGTCATCTGCGACGTCCAAATCGTATAATTGGTCCTGAGCTGTCCATTGTATTCCCTGTTTTCCTTCAGATGTCGAGGTCTTCATAATCCAGTCGACCACCAGAAGAAAGAGGAAGGGAGAGAGTAAACAGCCTTCTCTGACTCCGGTCCTTACTTGGAATGCATCTGTCAGCTTTCCTCCATGCAAGACTTTGCACTGTAGTCCGCCGTATGAGTTCCGGATAATGTTGAAAATCTTCTCAGGAACTCCGTAGTGTCGAAGAAGTTTCCATAATGTCCTCCTATCCACACTGTCAAATGCTTTTTCATAATCAATGGAGTTGATGTACAGTGATGAGTTCCACTCAATTGGTTGTTCGACGAACATCCATAGTGTTGCGATTTGGTCTGTGCATGATCGATCCTTACGGAATCCAGCTTGTTGATCTCGAAGTTGGGCGTCTACTACATCTTTCATCTAGTTCAGCAACATTCTGTTGAAGATCTTACCTGGTATTGACAGCAGTGTTATGCCTCTATAGTTTTCACATTTGCTCAGATCTCCTTTCTTTGGAATCTTGACGAGGTGTCCTTCTTTCCAGTCCATCGGCACTTGTTCCTCCTCCCAAATCTTTTTGAATAGAAGGTAAACCATGTTTGTAGTTGCTTCGATGTCTGACTTCACTGCTTCAGCTGGTATGTTGTCCGGACCCGCTGCTTTCCCGTTCTTGATTTGTCTGACGGCCATTCTGACTTCTTCCTTCGTTGGTGGGTTGACGTTTATGGGAAGATCTGTGTGTGCCGCTTCGATGTCCGGTGGATTCATTGGAGCCGGCCTATTCAGGAGTTCCTCGAAGAATTCTACCCATCTGTTCCGCTGTTGTTGAATTTCGGTGATTGGCTTGCCTTCTTTGTCTTTGACCGGTCTCTCTGGTTTACTGTATTTCCCTGCTAGTTTCTTCGTTGTATCGTAGAGCCGTTTCATATTTCCTTCTCTTGCAGCTCTTTCCGCCGTCAAGGACAGTTCTTCCGCGTATTTCTTCTTGTCGGCTCTAATGCTCTTCATCACTTGCCTGTTTGCTTCTGTGTATTCAGCTTGTGCTTGGACTTTCTCTGCTCGTGTTCGGCTGTTGTTTATTGCTGCCTTCTTGTTCTTCCTTTCGTTGATCTTGTCCAGTGTTTCTGTAGAGATCCATTCCTTATGATGGTATTTCTTTAGACCCAGAACCTCTTGACACGTTGAAGTTAATGCTTCCTTGATGCCTTTCCAGTTGTCCTCCATACTAGTTTCTTCTTCGTTCAGTAGATCTTGTAAGGCTTGGAACCTGTTGTTGAGAGCTATCTTGAATTCGTTGGGTTTGTCAGTATCTCGAAGGAAGGCTGTATTGAACATTTGTATTGCTGTTTGTCCAGTTCTTTTTTAGCTTCAGTTTTAAATTGGCCACAACTAGGTGGTGATCTGAAGCTATGTCAGCTCCTCTCCTGGTTCTCACATCTTCCATTGTCCTTCGGAATTTTTTGTTGATACAAATATGATCTATCTGGTTCTCTGTAGTGTGGTCCGGTGAGATCCATGTAGCCTTGTGTATACGCTTGTGTGGAAATATTGTGCCGCCTATGACCAATTTGTTGAATGCACATAGATTTGCAAATCTTTCTCCATTTTCGTTTCTTTCTCCCAGTCCATGTCGTCCCATAATATCTTCATATCCAGTGTTGTCTATTCCAATTTTGGCGCTTAGATCTCCCATCAGAATGGTGGGGTCCTTTCTTGGGCACTTCTCTATGACTGACTGCAGCCGCTCGTAGAACTGATCTTTAATGTCGTCGTTGCTATCATTTGTGGGTGCATAACATTGGATAATATTCATTAAGAGCCCCTCCTTCTTTGTTTTGAATGATGCTTTGATGATTCTGGATCCGTGAGATTCCTATCCTACAAGTGCATTTCGTGCTACTTTGGACAACATAAGAGCGACTCCCTGAGTGTGTGGAGCATTTTCGTTTTCGTGACCGGAGTATAGCAGCATCTCTCCCGTAGCTAGCCTTTTCTGTTCAGCTTGGGTCCAGTGGGTTTCGCTGATTCCCAGTACTGCTAAGTTGTATCTCCTCATTTCCATTGCTATTTGACTGGTCTTCCCAGTTTCCCACATTGTTCGAACATTCCATGTACCTATAAAAATTTTTGCTCTGGTTGTTAGAAGGGGCATCGGCCTCGTGGCTTCCGAAGGAACTCGGCTTTCACCATGAAGCGTCATAATTTTTCTAAATGAAGACCTTCTAACTCCCAGGGCAGAGTTTAAATGGTTTGGATTATTTTTTTCTGGTAAGCGTTTTTTTAGCGAGTTAGTTTCCTATGGGATGGGGACGCTAACCCCACGCCCAACCCTCCTCCTTTACCTGGGCTTGGGACCGGCAGTAACCCTATAAGAGCTACAGGCGGAGTTATTATTAATAACTGATGAATAATTATTCTATGCAAACGATTGGAGCTTGTGATTATTGTCAATTAATCCGTATTTCCGCATACATTATCTTTGTTCTAAAGGTTGTAATTATAAGTTCAGTAGAAAAACCGGCGGGACTACAATTTATGGACGAGTAAATCAGTTGAGGTCTCGAATTTTGGCGCGAAATACAATTTTGGCTTTATAACTGATGTCAATTCGTGATGAAAACCCGAAATCTAATTCCTAACAACCATCAACTTTAAATCGTAATCCTAATTTTTCACACAGGTTTATAATCCTCATTTCGTCCTAGTTATTATAGGTAAACACTCCCAAGGTCACGCTAGCGTCGTTCAAAGGTCACCCATAAATTATAATCTCACCGAAAAACTTAGTTAACAGTAATTACATGTGTCCATTGATTCATTGTTTTCCAAAGTGAACAGACATATCTAAACAAAAATACATACATACACACTAAATCAATGAATACTGAGGAGTTCCACAGTAGGACGAAACGGTCGTCTAATGCTTCCAGGTTCACCATGGTAGTGTAACTTTAATTGACTTATGATTTCAACTATTATGATGAATATTCAATTTATTTAATAGAAATTTTTAACAATTCTGATTTGAAAAAAAAAATTTTTTTTCTCAAGGGGAAAGAAAAATAAGCAAAGGGAGAAAAAAAAGATAACTGTATTATTAGTCTCTATGACTCTTAAACACAACAAAATAGAACAATTTCTATAAGATAAATGCAGAAATCTTCAATAAAATATATTAGAGATTGTCACACAGATTAATAAATCAATAACAACAACAACAACAAAAAGAAGCTGTATATACTACTAATGACTACTTATTGGCAAAAAAAGTAGTATTGATATCCCTTTTCTTTTTCTTTTAAAAGAATGGGATATAAAAGAATATCATTAAATAAAATGAAAATAAAATTAAATTAAATTGATCTTTCACAAATATGATTAAAACGTCTAGCATGATTATAATTATAACTTTGATAACGACAATATTGTCCATAATAACAATTTGGTTTAATAATTACATCAGTTGGTAATTCATTTGGACATATAGATAAACGATATTGATAAGCTAATTGACTAAGTAAACGTTCACTACAATTTTTACAAATTAATGAATTTCTATCTAATATACATGATGAATAAATAGATGTTGTATTAATATAAAATGTTAAACAATGATTGATAAATGTTGGAATTGAAATACCCTGAGATGTAAGATAATCCTTAAAGAAAAAAAAATAGAAACGAAAAGTTTATAAATCAATAGTTTCTATGAAATAAGTTTTATTTGGAGGTTGCTTCTATCAATACTGGTAAAAAAGATGCATACACAAGTCACTTGGTTTGTGTGTAGGCTATGATACTGCCCGGATGCTCAGACCGAAACAGGAGAGCCACACACGGAGACTTCGACCTAAAGATTTGATCCACAAGGCAGTGGAGCAGCGTAAGGAGATACGGTCCTATGGTAGCCGGTGACCAACAATTGGTTCATACGCCATTTGTTCCTTCAGTGTCCTGGAGCCAATATGCACTATTGATTCGGAATCAGGGTTTCTCAACTCCCGTAGGGTGAACCCATTGTGTCTGGAGGTGGTATGAACCAAAGATTGACCTCAGATAGGATATTACTGGAAACCGGGAAGCGTTAGACAGGTGTTTATTTACATTATGAGACCCCATCAGGGATTGGATCCTCTAGATCATTGAGTTGACATCCGACGGTATACAGATCTAACTACAACCGATTCATGTTATCCAAAATGAGTTCAATCTGTGGTGAGAACCAGCTCTGGAAGCTTACTACTAAGTTGGGTGATTTCATGAAGCTTGTACACTATTAAGGTAATTTTCGTTGGAAACTGATTACAGTTGAGGGGGGGGGCTGTTTTATCTGTTAGTAAACACCAATTATCCTAAACTATATCAAATCCAGTACATTTTCAGATATTATGTCAAAAATGATATTTTCCAATGTAGCCAGATATTCATCAGAATTACTTTAGTCTGTTTTATAGTTTTGCTTATTATCATGTTCATATTTTGATACTCAACGAATCAGTATATGAAAAGTCAATCGAATAACTAAAGTCGTTCACAGTGATTGACATGCATCAGATTGTTGAAGTAAAATAATTTAAATGGATATGTCATATCTTTAAACAAAGCATGATAACACTACATAATGTCAAATGAACATAACCGAATCGATTCATTGAAGTGAAGATCATACTGGAAAATATGGTTTAAATAAACAATATCAGTCGAAAAATTATTCTGTTGTTTATAATTCAAACAAACGATGTTGGACAAACAGAGATAATCAGATTCACACAGACGATAATATTTAAATTAGGGGTATTGTAACCATGAGATGTAGTGTGATACTTGATATTGAAAACCTCTGCAATTTCCAAGATGCAAATAAGAACACAAAAACTGACTGTAGTAGAAGATTTATTTTGTTTACCAAAATACCCATCAACAATTGTTGTAACGGCAGGTAACTGTTAGTGAATAATTAAACCCGTGAAACGTACGTCGAAAATAAGAACATAAGGACGATAGATGAGGATTTATTTGAAAATCAAAATGAATATGAAGTTTCATATGGTTTGTACTGATTAACAGTCAGATTTGTATACATCAAACTGAGTAGTACTTGACATTAATTAATCAATAATTTATTGTATGAACATGTATTTACAATATTGTAAAACTAACTGTTAAGCGTTTACGCGCGAAATCGAGGGTTCTGAGTCGGAGTTCTACGTGTGGGATCAGGAATGCACATTGTTTAGGAGTTTCGTGCTAGAACGAAAAGGAGGTCAAGTTTCCAAAGGTCCATGATCTCCACAACCCTATACTGATAATTATTTATAACCAACAGACATAATTAACATGATTTCTCCTTCTTAAAAAAGTGGTTACATACTATAGGCAATTGGAGAATTACAATTCCAAGTCATCAAAAAATCACTACATGAAGAAATAATTCTTGACTACTATACGTTCAAGAATGTCGAATGAAAAACTTCATAAAGACTAGATATAGTGCTTGATATGGAGAAAGTGTCAAAATGCTTGAGAAAGCAGAAATCAACATTTATCATTCAAATAACTGATCCAGAGATAGTATTAAATTTAACGAATAATTTCCCTTCATATGAATAAATAACATTGAGACTCTATAGTGACCAAGAATACGAGTGAGGACAATCAAATGTATTTGAACCCAAAATTACAGAATATCTCACTAAGATCTGACAACTATAAGGTGAATACTTAATTTGTCAAATACCAATCCATTGTCTCAAACGTGACTGTTCCCTTTGGAAATATCAGTTAATCGTCGCAGATTTCATTGTTCTTGCATTTCCAAAGCGATTTCTTTTTGTTCCCGTTCTTTCCTTCTTGATCTTCTGCTGAAATACATTCTATCCCTGACTATCGTCAGTCAGTCAGTCAGCTACAACGTAGGACCAGGCATCATTAACACAACAAGATGGACACTGGATTCATAAAAGTAGTTAATTCAGATGTGGTAATATATAAAAGAAAGATTGCATTAAGGATACAGTACAGGAAGAAAGAATTAGTTCGTAGAAAGAAAGATATGAAGCGATTTTAATCTCTTAGTTTAAGGGAAGACAAAGAGTGTATACACCGACGCCACTGTGATCGATTCTGAGCTATGTCACCAAGAGTCTCCAACCATTGGTTACGATAGTCACACGGACCCCAACCCCAACTATCGTTATATACTACTTATGTGAATAAGTAGCGCACACCACAATTCGACTTGTAATAATTAAGTAGTTAATTTTGTGTTTCTAGAACTGTTCAGGAAATAAATGGCAAATGGAATAAATGCACTGTAGTAACAGTGGTTACATGCTATTTAACCAAATAGTTACTTATATATGATACTCGGAGCCAAATAAGACAAATTACACGATAACTCAAGGTAGGTAAGGAACACATAAAAGTGGGTTGTCATAAGTAAAATGGATTATTGATGTAGTTATTTGGGCCATTCTGGCCATTAATAAACATGTGACGAAATCTCAGCTTGGATAAAGAAAGCTCGACCAGCTTTTGCAAACTCGCGTCATTTATGGCGTAGGCGAGATATCTATCTACCAACCGAAGGACGGGTTCACTGCGCAGTAGTTCGTTCCGTCCTACTTCATGGCTGTGAAACATGGCCGGTAAGAGTAGAGGATATTCGTAGGTTATTAGTGTTCGATCATAGGTGTTTTCGAAGCATTGCCCGTGTATCCTGGGACCATCGAGTAAGTAATTCAGTCGTTAAGAAACGGGTACGAGGTAAGAATGACGAATCATTTGATGAAGTACTGAAACTTTATCAGTTGAGATTGCTGGGACATGTGTTACGTATGCCCAACCACCGACTGCCTCGATGTGCGATGTTTTGTGGTGTAGGAGTAAGATGGAAGAAAGCTAGGGGTGACCAGACCAAAACATGGCACAAATCCATGAAGTCACTGACAAATGGACTAAGCCAAGTTGGTAGGCGAAGACTACCTCGTTGGGATCCACGACACGATAGCAACCGAAGGTTAGAGACATTGGATGACATGGCTCAAAATCGTTTGCAATGGCGCAGGTGCATTCACTCTTTGTGTTTTCCCATATTCTAATCTGAATTCTTCATGTCTTCTTTTTTCTCTTTCCAAATTTATTTCACTGGATTATACTCCTTGAATAACATCTTCAAACCCTAATTTTTCCGATTACTGCTTATAATTTTATTACCTGTACCACTATGGGATTTGCATCGACAATTGCATCTCTGTGCTAATATGGTATGGCAACTCTAATTGATGTGCGTACGTGCGAAGTTCTACATTGTTGCTGACTGACTGATGAACGGTAAGTATCATTCGACAATACAGCTGCGTGCAGTCTTCGTTTTCACCCGACCTATACTAGGGTTGATCAAGAGTTAAGAGGATGCATTAGTGATTGAATCAGATAACAGAGTATTATATATATAATCTGTGAATGTACCTAAAATTAAAATACAAAATCTTGGGAAGAAAATAATTGTAAAATTCTTTCTCTCAAGATAAATAACTTACATCAAGAATCCTTGTCTCTATACGATTATTCAATAATAAATTACGAGGTATCGAATTGTATCTAGTCAAATCTGCAATATTCAAGACAAGGAATTCATTTAGAAATATTATCAAATAAATGAAATATCAAAATAAAAATTTAACTGGTGAAAATTTGTCCATATGCGCCACACAAGTCACTTAATTTGTGTGTGGGCTGTGATAGTGCCTGTGTGCGCAGACTGAAGCAGGTAGTTTTCGTAGGGGGTCACGCACGTAGCCTTCGAACTAAACGTCTAGTCAACAAGGCAGTGGAGTAAAGTGAGGAGATGCAGTCCCATGGTAGCTGGTCATCAACAATTGGTTCATACATCATTTGTTCCTTTAGGATCCTGGAACCCTTGTATACCATCGGTTTAGAATCAGGGTTTTCCAACCCCCTTAGGTGGGCTTTCCTTGTCCACCAACCCGGTTAAAACGTCGGACATTTGGTTTTCGTCCTCTCATTTTTATAAACAACACCCCTTTCGCGAGAATGCAGTGAGTAGGACTTCCCTGTTAGTGGCTGTATACGCATGGCCATGTGAGAGCATTTGGGGAGGGAGAGCTGACTCTCCCCACTCTAGGCCGTACCAGGGCATTTGGGAGCTAAACCACCAACACACACTCGAACGTGCAACAAAAGCTGGTTTATGTTATTTCCTCTACTTGATTACGGCTAATACGGTATACGACTATCGGCACTCAAACGCGAAGAAGCCCACAGTCACGAGTCAAAAGACGGAAGAACGTATGAGAAGTGGTTATTGAGTATCAAACAGTGTACAGAAAAACATTGTAATCCAGCCAATCCGGAAGCACGAAATTGTACGATTGTCCAATAATAGCATACCGTTGTTGATATTCTAGTAAGTTCAGTTTTGATTGGGTGGAACCTCTTAGGCTCCTTTAAACTCGCCAGAGGCTTCTCTGGGTTTTCCGGGAGCCATTACAAAAGTTTATAAGCAGATTGGATGGAGATTAAGAGAGGTTAAGTTACGTTATAAAAACATCAGTTCATACATTTCTTGATTAGTGATCCAAGCAGTTTCGAAAAGGACGAAGGTTCTGATTGAGTTTCGTGCAATGGTCGTCAGCTATGATTTGAAATTCTAAGTGTAATGAAATTAGATTTGTAGCACTGACAAAGATGAATTCGATCTCCACTTACTTCAAAACTTCCATCCTATTATTTATTCTCAAACTATATTCTTCATTTTAATTGTGGCTTACAGTGGAACACAGGACGCGCATTTCGTCCCATTTAGGACTCGTCAGCCGGACGTGCTTGCATCACTCCGGGACCCTGCGTATTGAATTCCACTGCTAGCCACTATCCATCTTTGCTTAAAAAGCTTGTGACTTAAGACTATATTGAGGCAATCCGCACAGAATGCACATATGTCAACATGAGACTGATCAATTGCAGTCCTAAATAACAATGGGAAGATACAAGTAAAACAACACCAAGTGAATTTGAGTTTTGTTCTGTTTAGGACTTGTCATTTAGATGTACCTGGATCCTAGAGCTCATGTTCACACTTAGATTTAAACCCAATACCTATCACTTCAATGAGCTACTCATCAAACTACTTTTTTCAGATGACTACTAACTTGTTCAACGGTTGCTAAATTACATGTAAGAATTTCATCTTTCCAGTTTGTTAATAATCACCGGTCTCTAGTAGCATATATCTATGTTGAGAGGACTGCTCAAATATGGTTTTTAATTAGTGGCTAGCAAGTCCCAAAAAGGAAAAAATATGAGTCTTAGATTCCACCACAAGCTAAGACCTAAATTTATTAAAAGTCCAAGTTGGTTCAGTTCGGTTAGGAGGCACATATACCAATAGAAACTGATCCGTAATGTAAACAATGATAAAAACAGAACCTTTACATAGTTCTCTGCGTCTATTCGTTACTAAGATCAATATTATTACTAATTAACCCTTTCTAAGCTGATAACCATGTGTGCCAACTTAGTACAACTTTCACTAGTGGACATATGATTACTCACCTTGTACACGAGATAAACAATAACCATCACATGTTGAACATCCGTATGGATTGATTAAAGAACAAAATGTACGCCGGCATACTTCACATTCTGTTCGATTTATGCTATGTAGTTGTGGAATTGTTGTTGTTGTTGATCGACTAGGCATTGGTCTATTACAACATGTACAATAACAATGCGCTGAACCTAAAGAAAAATATTAAATTGAATTATAGAAAAAAGAACGAATTGAATGATCAATTCTTGACCGAACTAAATTCGTGATGAGAAATGACAATATTGAATAATTGGTGGGATAACAAAATTCGATATAAAGAAAACTATATCTCTTATTGGTTGATTAACCTGAAATGTTAATTATTATTACTAACAGAGTAATAAGGATCATTGTAGTTATATACTCAAGGATGTGCTATTGATAGACTATAATTAAATAAATGTAATAAGCATATTTGTATTGACTGATGACATTTCAAAGGAACAGAAATATGAGCACAGATCTCATAACATCGAGTAATAAATAAAGCTAAACATATCACATACAAATAAATGATGGTATTATTGTGGAAAAAGTTTTAGAATTAGATATGATGATGAACAGAATATTGGTCAATACATATTACGCAATGATACATTGTGGTTAACTAACAATCACTTTCAAAAACCAAATTATAGATATATACTCTGAAAGAACTGCTATTGAGAGACGACACAACTTAAAATCAGCATCACAGACTTTTCCTGTCGTGAAATAATATGTTCATATATTATTTACTCGGGCCCCCAAATGCCCTGGTACGGCCGAAAGTGGGGAGAGTCCGCTCTCCCTCTCGAAATACTCTCACACGGCCACGCGTATACAGCCTCTGCCAGGGAAGTCCTACTCACTGCCTTGTCGTGGCGGGGGTGTTGTTTACGAAAATGAGAGGACGAAAAGCGAATGTCCGGCGCTTTAACCGGATTCCAAACCAATGGTGCACATGGGCTCCAGTATCCTGCGGTAACAAATGGCGAATGAACCAATTGTTGGTCACCGGCTTCCATGGGACTGCATCTCCTTACGATGCTCCACTGCCTTGTGGATCAGACCTTCAGGTCGAAGGCTCGGGGTGTGGCCCCTTAAGAAAACCACCTGCTTCGGTTTGGGCACCCGGGCAGTATCACAGCCCTCACACATATCGAATGAGATTTGTGTGGCGCATATGTATTTGGTGCCTCTTTGTACCATTATCTATGTGTTGAAATAAATAAAATTACTCGGTTACACCTATTACTTCTCGTGGGAGCATAAGGAACCATTTAGAGTTCTTCAAACAACTTTGTCCTGGGGCCCCTTTGTGGATTTTTCACGTTCTATTCATTCTTTTGATATCTTTCTTTAATTCTTGGTGCAATATATGCTTTGGTCTACAACCTTTTTTGTCATGAGGATTCTAAGTTAGGGTTTGCCTCGTGATGCAGTTTGATGATTTCCAAAATGTATGTCCTATCCGCCTCCAGTGTTCATTCCTAATATTCATATTTCCTCCTTGTGTATGTTGAGGCGTATTGTTGCATATGGGATGGAAGAACAAGATTATCTGAGAAGTCCAGCTGCATCCAAGCTGTTAATTATATCCCATGCTTCCCCACAGGTATAATAGTCTTCAGAATCCAGTCGACCACCAGAGGGAAGAGAAAGGGTGAAAATAAGCAACCTTGTTTGACACCTGTCTTCACTTGGAGTGCATCCTTCACCTGACCTCCGTGCACGACGTTGCATTGTATTCCGTCATAAGAATTCCATAAAATGATGATGATCTTTTCAAGTACATCATATTGTCAAAGAAGATTCCATAAAGTTCTCCTATCCACACTGTCAAATGCTTCTCATAGTCAAGGAAGTTGACGAATAGTGACGAATTCTATTCACGTGATTGCTCAACAATGGTTTGCATATGACCGATCCTTACGGAATCCAGTCTGTTGATCTCGAATTTGAGCGTCTACTGAATCTTTTATTCGGCTCAACAATACTGTTGAAAACTTCTTACGGTACTGATATATTGGTGTGATGCCTCTGTAGTTTGTAAAGGCTGACTTCCCCTATATCTGACTTCAATAATGTTATATCTTGTGGTTTTGTGCCTTTGGTTCTTTGTTCTCCAACCCATCGCCAACTGTTATAACTTGTGGGTTTGTGCCCTTTATCAATCTATAAAGTGATGATACCGCCAATTACAGAACAGTGAATTATCGACTAGACCAATCACGCATAAAACCTGTACGAGCAGTCTAGAGACCTCAGCGATCCTGCTTCCCCGCCTACCCAGCCTGTTAAGTCCAGAACACCAATCTTCGCCTCTATTGTATGAATCATTTATTTCAAACATACTGGGTTTATATACAAACCAGACAGATTACATCGTACCATAAAATAGGAAACAACATTTGTACAAGATCACAACCAAATGTGGCTGTGAATAAGGGAGTTAGTAATTGATAGACAGAGCATAACTCAAGAGTGGTAAATCGTATAATAATAGTTCATAGGTCAAAATAAAGCTCATAATAAGAGAGACACGAATACGAATAGTTTAGTTATTTAACAATTATACAATAAAAGTATACGTATAGTATTAGTCCAGAAATAGATTCCGACAGTTACCAATCATTATTCTCATCGGGATTTAACAAATAAATAGTATCCCGTTAACTGAATATTTACGTAGGCTAAATCTCCTAGTAGTATTATGATTTTACTGGACATTATTCAAACGCCCGAACACCAGTTATAGAGAGAGTTTATTGTTAATGATTAGTAAGAATCCGCAAGCGTGGAGAAAGCAAGCAAACAGAGAAGCCAGTGAACGTGTGTGTTAAAAATCCATATATATTTATGAGTGTTAATCGATAGTAGATAAATTAATAATCGTCTGTGTTTACAACCAATGGGAGGATAGATAAAGATTGATATGCAGTCAAGCACTTAATCAAACTAATACATAATTTTACATAGTTGATCAAATATCTAGATTACAGCAAGTAGATAAATAATAAAATAGTTGAACGGGCCCACTACAAGTTCATACACTTTCTGAGATCTCCTTTCTCTGGTATCTTGACGAGATGTTTATCTGTTAAGTCTGTTGGTACTTGTTCTTCTTTCCGAATCTTACTGAAGAGTGTGTGGAGCATCTTTGCAGTCACTTCTTTGTCTGGCTTCAGTGTTTCAGCGGGTATATTGTCTGGTCATGCTACCTCCTCACTTTTCGTTTGTCTGAAGGCTAAGCTGATTTTTCCGATTGTTAGCGGGGTGACACCTATAGGAAGGTCTGTATTTGCTGCTTTGATTTCCAGTGGAACTGATATTTTTAAGAATTATTCAAAGTGCTCTACCTACCTGTTCCTTTCTTTTTGAATCTCAGTGATTAGATTGCCTTCTTCGTTCTTGACTGGTCGAACTGGTTTACCATATTTTCCTGCCATCTTCTTCGCTGTATCATAGTCCCTTCTCCTGCAGGTTTTTCTGCTGTCGTTGTCAGGTCTTTCATATATATGCATATGTCGATGATATACTAGTAGCCAGCGCTACCGTGGAAGAACATCTACGATAGTTTACGAAACTTCAAGAACATAGCGTCACTATTAATGTGGAGAAGTATGAACTTGGAATAGAATCATCGCAATTCCTGGGTCATATGATAAATTCTCAAAGTATCACGCCAGTTCCGATAGAAGTTGCCCGAGTCACAAAGAAAATTATGATTCGTGAGACTAATAAACTAATATAGAAAATTTATTCCAAACTGCGCAACTATATTACAACCATTGATGGACGCTTTGTGAGGACATGTCTGAACATTCCGTGTATCAACAGAGGCTATACAGGCGTTTGAGAACGCTAAGAGAGCTTTAGATGAGAAGACCATGTTAGTACGACGAAAGGGAGAAGAGCCACTCGCCGTCATGACGGACGCATAGAACGCAGCAGTGTGGGCTGTACTGCAGCACTTGGTAAATGGCACACGGGAACCACTTACATTTTTCTCGAAGAGATTCGATCTTACTCAAACGAGGTATAGTACGTTCGGAAGAGAACTGTTGGCGATTTAATTGGCAATAAAGCATTTCTGACATATGATAGAGGGTAACGTTTTCACGGTGTATACAGATCATCAACCCCTCACGAAAGCACTAAACATCAAGCAGGATAACTGTTCGCCGAGTAAAATTCGACAATTAGAATTTATTTCCCAATTCACGTCTAACATACAGTATATTAAAGACAATAAAAACGAAGTGGCAGATGCTTTATCCAGAACGATGATAAACGCTCCCATCCAATCTGAAATCGATTATCATGTCGCGCTCACCACTTTAATGGGGTCCTTCATTTTGACGTCAGTTAGATCGGGTGATGTTGTCAACGGGCTCACCACTTTTGTGGCCCGGGATCTGACTCTATTTGGATCGTATGATTGATTGTTATTGAGATATACATGTCGAAATATATATATGTCGCCAATCCTCGTATCTAATTTTCGACTTAACTCGCGTTAGCGAATAACGGAATTAAAATAAGTCAAATGCGAGAATGCATGTTTGAATACGTATATTTTGTACAATCATACGCTCAAATAAAAACAGTCAGGGTTGATAAGTGAATAATTAACAAGGTCAAAACGTGACTCATGAAGCATGGATAAATTGGCCTGTCCAGAAGGTAGAATAAGTTATATGGGCTTAACATAGTGACGGACATTACAGCTGTAACTTTCGTTTTAAACACGAACGCATTGCTTACTAGATTGACGTAGCCACTAAGTTGTCCAACGGATATGGTATTTATATCTCCATCAATAAGGGTTTAATTTACCCGGTTTTTGATACTCTTGACTACCTTTTGACCAGTCTTTATTAGTACATGTGCAGCTTATGCGGATCGCCTGGATACATTTTCACAAGTTACTTATGACAAGTGAATTGTAACTAAAATTGGAATAAACATCATACCCACCGAACAAGTTAGTAGGTATCTGGATTCAGGATATTAGCGGACAATGCAGCGAGGTTCGAAGTGATCGAGACTGGGTTCGAATCGAAGTGTGAACATGAGGTTTTTGATAGAGATATGTCCTAACTGACAAGTTCCAATGAGAAGGAAATGAGAGTTTCAGGATTCCTCTGATAGTCACAATTCATCTGTTCTACATAACTTGAGAAGAATGGCTAAACCATGATAATTATCATTGGAAGCACCTATTTTAGCCAGGACTGATCGAAATTCAGTTTCGAATATTAACAACAAGATAATTTTAAACACTTACCAATAAAGTTATTGTAAATGAATATTTTATGAGGAGAAACAATAATACCACAAAGATTTTAATATAATTCATTAATCTATTGAAGTCTTCTACAGATTTTTATGTCTGTTGGCCGAAAAACAGTGATAAATGCATCCATATGGCTATAGAATATTCATCTACTCGGACCTATATAAGGATGAAAATAGTCTTTTAGGAGTTCCCAAATTTCCTGGTTATAATTAGGATTATAAATTTAGATTTAGGGTTGATTTGCATGTTATATACAATCTATATAGAAAGAATTGAGTATTTGATAAGTTTAATGTTAATATTTTTACTATGTAAACGAGAAAACATTGATAACCATAATAATTTTAAACGTTCTTATTATTGTACAAAAATATTTCTTCTGGTTGTTTTACGTTTTAAGATAAATCATTCATTGTTTTGAATTTGACACAGAACACAAGAGTCATTTTACTCAATTTTGATTAACTAATCTCTGTACTGCATATTACCAACCTTGAAGCAGAGAACCAGAAACGATTATGAAATCTTTATGTTGCCAATCAGACAATGAGGATCACAAATTATCTCAGTTGAATATATTTTGTTAGAGAAGTTAATGTCCCCGAATGCCCTGGTACGGCCGAGAGTGGGGAGAGTCAGCTCTCCCTCTACAAATGCTCTCATATGGCCACGTGCATACAACCACTGACAGGGAAGTCCTATTCACTGTATTCTCGCGAAAGGGGTGTTGTTTACGAAATTAAGAGGACGAAAACCGAATGTCCGATGCTTTAACCGGGTTGGTAGACACGGAGAGTCCGCCTAGGGGAGTTGGAGACCCATCATTCCAAACCAATGGTTTACATGGGTTCCAGGGTCCTAAGGAAACAAATGATGTATGAACCAATCGTTGATGACCGGCTATCATGGGACTGCATTTCCTGATGTCACTTCACTGCTCTGTGGATTAGACCTTTGGCTCGAAGGCTCCGGGTGTGGTCCTCTAAGAAAGCCACCTGCTTCGGTTTGGGCACCCGGGTATTATCCCAGCCCTCTCATAAACCGAATGATTTATGTGGCGCATATCTATATGGTGCCTCCTTGTACCAATGTTCATGTGTTTAAATGAATAAATAAATAAGAGAGGCTAATGAAACATAAATTTATTCCTACAGAGTCTTTGAGTAATTTATGAAGTTTGCAAACATAAAACAAAAAACTGCATTTCTGTAAAGCTGCTTGTCTATCATAGTTCGATCATTTTCTCCACACATTCCTTATAAAGTCATAAATAGTCAAGTGAAAAGTACCAAATAGCCCCAATCTCCACTACAATCTTTATGATAAGAATCACTCGAGAATCAACGAAATGATGTTATGGGACAACAATATGGATGCTGTATTACAGTCGTCTTAATCTGTTTTAGCACCTGTACGCTATAAGCGCATATTGGTCAGTACATCATCAGTAATATGTTTTGATTATGAGTTAACTTGGGGCAAATAAAAAACGACTCAGAAATGATTAATTTATGTTTTCAACATAATCTACATATGAACAAATGAGTATTTACACAACATTTGGATAATTTATGACGACTTTCTATTGCATTCTAATATTTGTTGGGTGGCTACCAAAAATCTGGCGCTAATGTAGAGTCTTTTTCAATATTTAAAGAATTTATAGTATTCTAAAGCAAAAGAAACGGGTAATAAAATATCGTAAAGAATACTAGTCGCACGATTACTAGACTAGAATGGATGACTAAATATATTTGATCACGAAATCACGCATCAAAGTACAAGTGAATAGAAAACAGGAGATAGAACCATACCATATGAAATTGCGGTTTTACCCATCCTATTATCATTTATCTTATGGACCATAACCACTGCTTTCCAATGGCTCACTAAAGAAATCCACCGAAGTATCAGTTCCTAAGAATAAGCAGATAAGGCTCGCTGCTGATGACCAAACACCATGTCAAGCTAAAACACTAGTGCGCATAATTTCGATTCATTTAGAGTAGTCACATTTCAACCCATTGACTAATAGTGTTTAATTAGAACAAAGGACAACACAAGTATAACATAGGTTAGTGTCTAGTGGTCAGTTAGTGCAAATATTAATTTTGGATTGGCACTTTACACTAAATCATTAAGAATTTTCAAATTATCAACTAGAAATCAATTGTTCACAGTTTTCAGCATCCACTCTCATATATAATATTAATCATAATTAAACAGATTATTGTGACAATCTAACCAAATTATAATGCTTGGAACACTTGTTCCATAAAGTTTCCCCTCCTCAGGTAAGTCGACCTGAAAGGGGTAGGATTAAAAGTAGTAAGTTCGAGATCTAAGAGAAAAGTCGTAACACCAAGTGTACTGAAGTTGAATGGTGCCAATGTTTTCCTCGCAGATAATTATTATCTTTAACGACGCTACTTTCCCACAGAGGAGGGGTTTAGAAAAGGTAGGTTCTAAAAGCAATACACCTTACTTTGACTTCCGATACCGGTAGTAACGCCTCAAAAGTATGGGGCTAACACAATAAAAACTATTCAGAAAGGTCATGTGTGACCAAACTCAACTAGCTGCCCTTTGGCTCTGAGACCTTACTTCTACGTGAACAAAGTCACTACCAACTCAGTATTCTTTTCAGGTACTACAGTGTGGAAAACCTGTGAAATGACAACCACTAACATGCATCTTAACAGCATTTAACGAGCTGAAAAATATTACACATTACAGACTGAAGTATGTATCGTAATACCATGCGAATACGTTTGTAGATAAGCTTGAATTTCTCAGTTTAATGAGGGAACTGTTGATTTGTAATACTATGAATTCAAAAAAGGTTGTTATCTAACGACCATAAATATACATATTATGTATTTATACCGGAATAAACTTACATTCTTCAATTCTTGGACCACGGTCGCCAAGATTAATGCCACTAATACTTGTCATACTATTGCCACGAGGGTCATATGGTGGTAACCATGAGCATATAACACAACCAGCACTCATTGGTGAAGAAGTGGGCATAATTATCGGACCAGTAGAAACACTGCGAGTTGTTGCGGTGGTATTGATGGTCGGAACAACAGGAAAGACGCCAGAAGAACTGCTCAGTAAACCATAGTCACCACCAGTAATAGTAATTCTCTCTCTATTCCTAAACGAAATAGATATATAGAGAAAAACAAACGAAGAGGTGAGAAATTCAACTAATAAATGGAATTTATTGTCATCAGTGACCGAAATTGTTCATGATCGGTGTAAGACCTGGCATAAATAAGCATTAGCCCAAATTATCACACTATATTAGCATAATAGGATGAAATTAACGGGGTGAAAGCAAGTAAGTCGAAATAATAGTATGAAAAAGATTAAGTATAAAGCTTATGGTTCAAAAAGAAAAAATGAAATCAAGAAACAAAACGTATGAAATAACACTGAAAATAAACAACCAGGGGATAAGAAATAAACGGTTTGCACAAATGTGACCAACTTGAGAATCCTATCACTAAAACCGTCTAACCATTAATTAATATAAACATGCGAACTATAACTTGATTGTACCAGTTTGTACCTACAAACATAGCTCAGTTCAACATTAATTAACTTTCTGGAGTGATGTAGTGTTTTGGTTTGCTCACCTCTACTTTTCCTTTAACCTACTCTTGAGCAAGTCACGGTCGATATATGCAGTACTCAGGGATATGTAGAAAATGTCTTACTAATTTCACTAGACGAAAACACATAGTCCCACCAGCTAACTCACCACACTGTATCTCGCTTTGCTGCTCCATCATATGACGCTAGTATTTCGAAGGGACCATATGGTAAAATACTAGTAACCTACTTATGTACTCAAAGCTTGAGCTCCACTAGACGGAATAGCTACATAAACTGGACAACTGCACAGTATCCTCACCGATGGTGATTTTGTTTATATTATAGGTGGTGAGAACTAGTGGACGATAAAGTAGTGTTTTGAATCCCCACCGAAATATCGTCAGCAAACCAAAGAATCAGAGTTGATGAGTTCATAGTTGAGCAAAGTCAATGCACCCAACTACTTTGTGTCGTTTGATTAGTCAGGGTAATGACTATGAGCAGTTTCCAATCTACATCTGACATTTATTATTTCAACACATAGATAATGGTACAAAGAGGCACCAAATACATATGCGCCACACAAATCTCATTCGATATGTGTGAGGGCTGTGATACTGCCCGGGTGCCCAAACCGAAGCAGGTGGTTTTCTTAGGGGGCCACACCCCGAGCCTTCGACCTGAAGGTCTGATCCACAAGGCAGTGGAGCATCGCTAGGAGATGCAGTCCCATGGAAGCCGGTGACCAACAATTGGTTCATTCGCCATTTGTTACCGCAGGATACTGGAGCCCATGTGCACCATTGGTTTGGAATCCGGTTAAAGCGCCGGACATTCGCTTTTCGTCCTCTCATTTTCGTAAACAACACCCCCGCCACGAGAAGGCAGTGAGTAGGACTTCCCTGGCAGAGGCTATATACGCGTGGCCGTGTGAGAGTATTTCGAGAGGGAGAGCGGACTCTCCCCACTCTCGGCCGTACCAGGGCATTTGGGGGCTGACATTTAGAGAGAAATGTATCATAAACATTATTACACTCCAAGCAACTTTAGATGTATATTTAGTTTCATCAAACAAAACCAATTAAAATATGGTGATATGTAGAAAAACATAAACAAAAAAATTTATTCTCTCACTCTTTCATACATACACATACCTTCTAGTTCGACTATTGTATCGACGAGTGTGATTTGGAAGCTAATAAAATTTAATTTTAGACGTTTCATAATATGCGCTTACGCGTGTTAATCTGGCAATCTCTTGCTTTATTTCATTTTGTTCGGATTCAGATTTTAACTTCTCTACAAATAAAATAATGATGATAAGATATACATATCATCAAAAGTAAGAATTCTTACCTGGATGTTTACGAAGGAATACATCAACTAAATTATTTAATTGGTGATTTTTAGCATACGCTGACACCGATTTACGACACTTAAAGCAAACATAATGGGAAGAGAAAATAATTATGGAAATAATACAATTTAACTTACCATTGGACATTCATATCTTTTACATCTCAACCAACAGAGTGTGCAGAAACTGTGTAAACACGGTTGAACACTGTGTTGGAAAAAACGACATATCATACGGGCAAGTGTAGTCAACGTACCTACAACACTCAAAATAGATATCTCCACAAATAACACATGTTAAGCAATTTTCTAAATCAGTATCATCAGTTGATGTTGATGGCTTCATAAACTGTGATGATGATGGTTGTAACGGTAGTTCCGTAGTTTTGGTCTTATCAGACTCACCAGAGGAAGCCAAAAGTTTAAAATCATCAACAAAAAGAACGCAGAATCCAACTCCTTAAGAAACAGGCACATAAATATTCTTTTCTGACACTATAGATAAACCTACGCTTAGTCACATCTACTTCATCCCATAAAAGGTAGAAATAGTCACCAGTGTGGAGCGTGACACAATCTTGCTGTAGCCACTTGCCATCATTACAACGTGTCCCAGTCTTGCTACAATCGTACAACCATATGACATCGTCTGGATCTTTCATCAAAACGCAATGTGAACTTGAAACTTCTTCATGTTTTATGACAATCAAACATTCTGAATAACAAATACAAAATTATTTGAAATGATTAAAAAGAAAAAAGGACCTTCAGATGATCCGATAGTAATTACTTCCTGAGAAAGTTCATGCATGAACGAATCATGCACGGAAAGTAATTTGGCCCACTTTAAAGATGTTTCTTGACGTTCTCCAGCAGCTTCAGTGGTATAGGTTAACATGAACTGAAAAAAATTAAATTTACCAAACAGGTTCATCGAAACTAAAATACACTTAGTTTAGGCTCACGTGAAGACAAAAGATATGAATATCGAAAATCGGGGTTACTGTATGATAAGTAATACATGGTTATTACGGGGTGTGACTAAGAGAGCGTCAATCAGAACCAACGATGATTATTAAAGATGGATTAGTAATCGATTGGAAAGACGCGATAGAGAAGCGTAAATAACTGCAAATTTAAATTGTCACCCACACGCGCAATATTACCGAAGCATACGTGGTATGAAAGCCAACTTTGGATAAATTATGAAACAATAACACAATCAAAAATGAACATCTAACAATCGAGTCGAGACAATTTTCAAAAAGCAGAGCAATAAAGATCTAAAATATTTACGTTGTAAGGCAAGCATTTCACTCAAACCAAATTGGAGTCATGAAAAAGATTGACAATACTGCTTTATTCTGCATGAAGCTAACAAAATACTAATATTTTGAAGCCTGTTCTTCAAGTAGGAAACCTTGAGAAGCCTAGGCTTTAACAAGTGGATAACATTCGAAGCTCATGAGGCGTATTAATATCACTGTGCAAGAGAGCTGAGACGACATATTAATTTTAACCCGTTGTCCTTCGGTATCTTCACTTGGGCGACATGTCTAGTAAAAATATGCCTCCAAGCCACGTATATTGGACGATACCTTATATACTTAAACACAACGAACTAGCTAGTTTCACGCACTACATGCAGTGAGTTAAGAAGAAAACATACAACATGAAAACAGAATACTCACTAATGTATGACATTACCCCCGAAGTACATTTAGAATTACAATTAAGATTACAAATCGCGAGAAGAATCTAATACATGGGGATTGTTTGACATTAATGAAGGGTAAACACACATATGAATGCAGTGTTTATTACTAGTCAACTTAAGCTTAAGAACTTGAAGCATATGATAATTATCATCTTAAGATGAAATACTTTGTAGCATTCACATGACATTCATATACGTCTTATACATTTTTAGTACAGTGAAAAATTTTAGTGGGAAAAATGATGGAAAATAAGTGTCTTACTTCTAAAGCGAAGGTAGAAACCAAACTTATCATATAATATAATTAGTAACGCATCTTTCCAAAGACGCAGACTTTTAATTCCTTTGTCCAGTATCCAATATCACAGGTACGAGTTTGTACAAGTCAACTAATTTCTTTGCATTCTATTCCTGTTGTTTCGGTACGGTCTCACGTATTTGATAATGTTGAGCGTATGATAGTTCAGCCACTTGACTGCACTGATTGTAGTCAGTTTGGTAGTTTTTAAGAATTTGCATATAATGTCATTTGAGTTCGTTTGTTTGAGGTCAATAGGGTTTCTGCATACCAGCAGTTATCATTCTACCAGTCAGAGGATTCTCTGGCTACAAAATATAATAGTTAAGAGTAAATTCGAGACGATTTTTTAAAGGGGTAAATAAACAGATATTTGAGTTGATTAATTAGTAGTGCAGACAGTGTGCGAAGACATGAGTATCAGAAGAAAAAGCAAAATGGAGCCGATGATAGGAGAGAATGTAACAAGTTATCAATGTATAATTATGATTAGAGTGGATAAATTGAGAGACGTGCATCTGGCAAAACAAGTCCGAGATGGAGATGGTAATTCATGAGTAAGTTAGCGCCTGTCAAATTTCTCCATAAATCTATCTACTGGGATGGATGTAGTCACTTCCGTAGGGACAGAATTCGTTAGTTATTCACCAAACCCGATCTATTTATCAATAATATAGTCTGGGTTTATTTGTATTTCTGTTAATTCTTCTATAATGTTTCAAATTATATGAATCTTAGTATGAACTAAGAAATAACGTAATCGGATCAAGAAATTTAGATGGTGGTTGGAGGTAGTCAACAGGAAACCCTGGACCCGGGTTTCGTGCTACTTGGCACTCGTCAGCAAGGTGTACCTGTAATCTTGAGGGAACTGGTGCTCCCTGGCGGATTCGATCTCGTGTCACCCAGCTTCACAGTCAGAGACGTTACCACTGAGCTATCCGAGCCGTGACTAACCTCCTGTAGGATGGATCAAGAAATACTAGGTAGGCGCAGACGGATGTACTGTATTTAGGATTCGAAATCAAGCATTCGACAAGTGCAAAGGAATCATTAGTTATTTCAGACACCACATTTGGCACAGCTTAAATTGGAGGATAATTGTCTGTGATAGGTTGTACGTCCTCTTCTTAAGTTCAGCCTGAGTCTGTTCGATATTGCATTGAATATAAACTCTGTATTATCTAGAATACACCCATTAATATTAGAATTAACAACCGAAATTGGAACAGACTCACCGGGGTCCTGAAATCGTATACAATCAGCATGTCGATTTTGTAATAAAATCATTAATATCTAGAATTCGAACCACAGATTTTTCATCACTATCCTCCACCACGGAATAATGTTGCATCTTTATATCCTCAAGTTATGAATAATGTGGCTTGATTTAAAACATATTTCTCACATTTATTAGAGTATACATATATATATCACTGTATATATCACTGGATTTGTGATAAGGATAAACAGCAGTTGATATGAAATCGTCCGAATTGTAATCACAATTGAGGTGATTTAGTACTCATGCATCGCACTGAACAAATTTCCCTCAAGAAACAAAAGCATTGGGAGGACAAATAATATTTGTCATGACATCAAGCTTTGACTCTTTTGAAATAGTTTCCTCGAATTTATTAAGAACGTAATTGCACAGTAATGGATCATCAGAAAAATCAGCATCCATCAAAACTACATCAGGTTTTCGATCATTACTATGTTCACACAGTATATTTTGATCAGATTTGCAAGAAATTTCATCAGAAATATGTTTAAATCATTAAAAATGTCATACATGTTACAACATGAGAATTCTGACAAATTGATTGGTTAGGAACCGTTGTCTCACAAGGATTCTGAGTTTCATTTAACTCTGAACTGCTATACGACTCTACACTGTCTTTATAATCACTGATAAATATAAATGATCATTATAAACACTCGACCCAATAGAATCAGAATTACAAGTTTTAGTATTAGTTGCAGCAAGATGAACATTAGTATTACAGACTGAATATGTCTAGTATTACCACATTTAAAGCACTTAGAGTTACGAAATTTACATGAATTAAAAGAGTCGAACTTGCCACAGGACAAAGATTGACCAAACTTGTGCCCATCCTCGTGGACTGCATCACAACTCCTCAATGAATTATCCACACAACCTTGAGTATCCACTGGGTTGGGATGACGTAATGTAGTGGAATTTTCTATATCGTCATGGACCATTTTATGATATATTCCTCCTTTACCGCATTCGAGATTTGTATAATTAGTATAGTCTAGCAGTAGATCCTTGAGAGTTGTATAAGAAAGCAAAATGGGCTTTTCCGGTAAAGCCAGAGTCTTTAATAAGCTTCTTTTCCGATGAATGTGAGGCAATGTGCTACAATATTAACATCCTCATCATCTTACTTGGTCATAGCCCACATTTCGAACCTTTCAAAGTAATCCTCAAAAGCATCAATGTCTGAATGTATGTTTAACCGTTCCATCACAGGCTCCATCGCGACGCTAGTTTGGTATTTCGATTTATTTGAATTTTAGTATGAACTAAGAATCCCAGAAATAACATGATTAGATCAAGAAGTACTAGATAGGCGCAAACGGATGTATCGTATTTGGAATTCAAAATCAAGCATTCAACAAGTACAAAAGAATCATTAGTTAATTGAAACACCACATTTTCCCAACTGTTTAACAATACGATTTTATTATTTTGTCTATCTCAGATTTGAAGTATTCAGTGTCGAAAGGTAATCACAAATTCTAGACGTTTTTCGATCTGTCTTTATTGAAGTCACAACGGAAGAAATACAACTACAAGACTCGAATGAAATCATCATCACTTTTCCAACCAGTTTGTCTAGCTCATTCATCAGAGCCTCTCTTAAACCATATGTAATCAGTCTACGTTTTAAGAAGACAGGCTCTCTCAGTTAACTTTTAAGTGTACTGGGTGAATTTTCACACTTCCCTCAACCTTTGAGCATTGTAAAACTGGACCTTCGACTATGGCAATATCAGATGGATTAGTGAATAAAGGAAGGAGAACTGCCAGTAATTTCAGGCTCTTTAATACAAGTACAGATAGACCATACTAACTGGTAAACGAATGTTAACAGAACCACCCTATTTATTTCTCAATAAAAAATATTAGCTATAGCGAAAATTGTAAACTGGTGGTCAGTGATTGCACTGTTTGTGAGCTTTAAGTAAACATCATCATAAACAAACAATAAATTGCTCTAAGAAATAACTGGCTCTATAATGTCAGTATAAAAAAGTGGGAATTGTCTGTGTTGGCAATTAATTTTCGCATTAATGTGAAGTACTGCCGCTGAAGGTAGTGAGAGAATACTAACTGATCCTTTTCTCGGGATCAGCTGATCTTGATCCACCATCATTCATTGTTTTAGTAGTAAACGAATTGAAACTTCAAAATACTTTTGTGCATATTCATCCTTTCATACATAAAGCAACGTGCATAATGAAACTGACACTATCTGCAAAGATGCGGCCTACCACATGAAAAAAAGGATTTAACACACAAAGACGAATTTAAAGTGAGTTTCGAATTATTCATATGTCTGAGTGAATCAGAACTGTCCTTGTTAGAAGTCTTAGCTTTCTCCTATGTAGAAAATTTTTTCACATTTGATAGTGAACCTTCATGATCATTGCTGCATGGATCAGTTCATGGTGTGCGATTAAACCGATGAGCGTTAGTTTTTCTTGATATTGACGAGGATCAGTAAACTATTTGACATTCAGTGAACCAACTGACAGATGATTTCATTAGAGCTCTGTGATATTTTACTGGACTTACCCACTTAAAACGTTATGTCAACTGGGAATAAACACCTGTTTCCAATGTTTCTACAAACAATATGAAAGTAAAAACATAAAAATGGGTTTCAACTGATACAAAATCTTACCGAATTTCTAGCAATGAGATAAAAAATTAACAATTCAAGAAGACTAGTTTTGTAACAGGAGGCTATGTATGATATGATTAGACTGGTACGGTATGATGATTAGGAGTATTTGAACTATAGTATCAACTAAGAATCCCAGGAATAACGTAATCGGATAAAGAAGTACAAGATAAGAACAAACGAATATACTGTATTTAGAATTTGAAATCAAGCATTCAACAAGTACAAAAGAGTCATTAGTTCATTCAAACACTAGACACAGTTAGGACGTCAAACCCTGGGTTTTCACGTATATATTACATTTTGTCGAGAATTTTGAGATGTCGTTATTTATCGGCTATTAACAGCATTTTTTTCCGTCACACGTTAATCTTTGTAATTCTTAAGCTTGTTATTTATTAGTAGTTTGACGTATTTATTGCTTACAATATGGGTGAATTTTTAGTCAGCCTAATGTGGCTATTTGTAACAGTGCAAACTCAAGAAAGTGAAATTCACTGTTTAACAAGTCAAAAATAGACCGCAATCAAAGTTTTATACAAGAGAAAGAGAGCAAAATCATTGTTCCTCGCAATGATTTTGTGGTTTTGCTGAAGAAAAAGACCACTTAAATATGAGAACATCTGATATTCGTGCAATCCAACGGACATCCAACAAACCCGCAGCATTTGAAATACGGAATGACCGCCACTTGTGAGGCCGTTTAAAGTTGTTGAAAGGGTCTGACGTTTTTCCTGTGCCGATTAGACTCTATCACCGTTTACACTGTAAAACCTGTGCATTGCGAATTTAATCCAGAATTCAGCTATATGGAATCGTAAATTAAAACAAACTAACTTTAAGTAGTCTCTTTACTGAACTTCATTGCTAAAACAAAAGACAATCTCCTGCAAACCATTTAATTTAGGTTAAAGATAAAACCTATAATCTCTTTTGTTCACACTCTTTAAAATAGTTTCGAAGTCATGTTATAGTGAACAAGAACACGAGTAGGGACAATCAAATGTAGTTAAACACAACATTACTATGATAATTAGAAGTATTTGAATTATAGTACTAAGAATCCCAGAAATAATACAATTGAACTAAGAAGTACTATATAAACACGAA